ATGCTGTCTGAAGTGCTGTCTGTACAAAAACACCACGGTAGGCATGGAACAAGCAGCAGGCGGGGCACAAAGCTGCTGTCTGAAGTGCTGTCAGAATGTGTCTGCGACCGTACAGTGAAAAAGAACTACCAACCAAAGCAATCATAGCAGCAATTTACAATCACCCGAATCTCTCCCGATCGTCTGTGTAGGCACTGCAGTGAAAAATATCGACACTAGCTAAGAATCGTTCCACATTGAAGGGGTCTTCCACGATCAGGCACAAAACCAATGCACCCGGGTTAGCCACGCCATCTCTGACGGGTCTCTCTACAAAACCGGTGACGATGTCATCACACAAAACCAACACGGAAAGTAAAAAAAAAAACGAAAAATTTGACAACACAGAAATGTTTGTCCGTGCGCCACGGGTCGATGTCGCCCGCATGCTCCGGTGCCATTGCTCCATCCAAGTGACACGAGTTTAATGTGAAGAAAAACAAGAACAACATCAACAACAACTCTAATGAGCAAGGCGCGGGTCACCGTGGTTCTATTTTTTCGCGTAAGGAGGCGTCGTGGGTAGGCGTTTCTTTCGTCTGCCGTTTCTTTGTTTCAGGCACACCGGCAGGAAGAGGCGAGCGCACTCTGTTGGGTGCGCATGTGCATCTAAAGAGGTGCCCACAATCCCCCCTTCCTCACCTCTCGCCTTGGAAATACGAAGTATCCCCCTGAGGTGGCGTAAACATCTTCGCCAACGTGGACCCCAGCGGTTCCTTGTCGGTCGTTTCTCGATTTTATCAAAGTATTGTTCACTTACAGCTGTGTCTTGCGTTTGTCGCTGTGGACGAACTCGCGAAACAGGCGGCGTTCACCGCTCTTCGCGCGGACTGCTCCCTCCGGGCACGACAAGCGTCCCTGTCCAGCCTTGAGACGACGGTTTCACGCCTCCAAGAGGAACACGCCAAGACAAGAAGAGCTTCCGACCTCACCGGCCGTTTCGTCGACTGGTTCTCCTCCCGCGGGCAGGTGTGTGTGTGTGTGCATGTTTTTAGACGTTCATGGTCGCTTTTTTTTTCCTGCGTGGTGCTTGAGCTACAGCTGTGTTTCGGCGTCTTGGTCGAGGAATATCCTGCTCTGCAGCAGCCCCCCCCCCCCCCCCCCCCCCCCCCCCCCCCCCCCCCCCCCCCCCCCCCCCCCCCCCCCCCCCC